TGGGCTTTGTTGTTTCTCAGTTAGATGGCCACTTGTTTATCTTCCAGCCTATAGGACCCCAGATTCTAAATCTTTTCACAGTCAGGAGCCATCAGCTTTCTTCACCGCATTTGCTTAAGCACCCGCTTTGTCTTCAGCGATCGGATTGGGGTAGGCTGGTGTGCTTCTTCCATGTGGGCTTTGTTGTTTTTAGCTAAATGGCCACCTGTTTATCTTCAAGCCTTTAAGACCCCAGACACTATATCTTTCGATAGCTAGGCACCATCAGCTTTCTTCACCAGTTTTGCTTATGCACCCACTTTGTCCTCAGCAATCGAGTCGGGACAGGCTGGTGTGCTTCTTCCATGTAGGTTTTGTTGTTTCTCAGCTAGACAGCTGCTTGTTTATCTTCAGGCCTTTAAGACTTCAGATGCTACATCTTTTGGTAGCCGGGCACCATCAGCTTTCTTCACCACATTTGGTTCTGCACCCATTGTCTTCAGCAATAGTGCCAGGAAGGTGAGCATCTCAGATTGCCGAATTGTTAGAACAAAGTGTTCTTGTTGAGGGAGTACTTGAGCAAGGGCCCACTGTCCATCTGTTTCCTTAATACTAAACCTATAAATATATGTATATAGATCTATTTCCTTCTTATCATATATAAATATATTTACAACTGTATATGTCTGTATTTAAATCTCTGTGACTACCCTTTGCCTCCTAGTTCTTTCCTCTATTTCTTTTTACTTTCCTCTTGTCCCACTATCATGTTCAGCCTTCATTTGGGTTTTAGGAATTCCTCTCAGTTACACAGCCCTTGATCCAGCCCTGCCAGACTTCTTACACCCTTCTTGCCACTGATTTTGGATCACTTGTTGTTCCCTTGTCCCTGGATTTGTTAACACCGACTTCCTTTCCCCACCTCTCCTTCTCTCATGTTCCCTAGGAACTGATATCCCATTGTTCTCTCTTCTGGCTTGCTTATGCCGCCTATCCCTTCCAGGTAGACATACTATGTACCATCACAAGACTGAGTACAAGGAAGCAACAAGAGAAAGTAAAACAATAGCAACAACAACACAAGAAAACCATACAAATAGTTCAGGGTCTATTTGTTGTCCTTCACAACTGCTTTCCAGTCGAATCTGATGGGGTGCCATGCCCTGGCACCACATCTATCCTTGGGGACTTCATTGCTCTGCTTCCCCTGCTTCCCTGCTGCATGCCCCCAGGTCAGGGCAGGCACAATTCCCACCAGTGTGTCTCTAGCATTGTCCCCAGTGTGTTATGGATCAATGAGGAACATTGTGTCCCATGGTGAGGCCAGCCCTGTGGTCATCTCTGTGCACTGCTGTTCTGAGCAGAAACATTGTCCTCAGGGCTTAGTGAGCCAGGATGTGCTTCTCTCTCTTTTTTTTTTTTTTTTCCCCTTTCCCCGTCATTGACTCCTGTGTGCTCTGATCAGACAAGAGCTGTCATTTCTTGATGTATTCCCTCACCTATGCCTACATACTCCTAAATGCATGGTTTCCATCTCTCTAGCCCTGCCCTAAGCTCCTCAATTTACACACCTTTCAAGACCTTCACCTGATGGACCATGACTCAAAATGAGAAGAAACAGCCACAAACATCCATTAATAACCAGAACATGGAGTGTATAAAGTATGAATCAAGGAAAATCAGAAGTTGTCAAAAATGAAATGAAACTCTTGAAGATAGATATCATAGGCATTTGTGATCTGAACTGGACCAGTATTGGCGATTTTTAATCAAATGACTATATAGTCTACCATGCCAGAATTGACAAAACTAAAGATGAATGACATTTCAATCATCACCAAAAAGTATATTTCAAGATCTGCAAAAAGTATAGCCTTGTAAAGCCCATAGGGGAGTTCTACTCTGTCCTGGAGGGTTGCTAATGCGCTGACACCCAATGGTAGCAGGTGCTATGTAAAGAACTGACTGGGGAGTGGACGTGGAGAATAACTGAAAAAACAGCTGGGCCTCTTAGGAAGCTATTACAATTGTCCCATCAAAAACTGGAGGTAGCCATTACTACAGCCATAGGAGCGAAACTGGTAGAAACTGTCAGATGCTAGTTACATGTGAAAGGCAAGACTTTTTTAGCCCTATTTTTTTACATGTTTAAGCATAGGCATACTTTTAAAATTGTCTCCAAAATGTTTACTATATTTTTAGAAATATTGTTACAGAAATAAGACTCCTTAAGTATGTCTTTTCGGTAATACCTGGGACAGTATACTTTAAAAAATAGTCAAATAAACCTCTAATACACAGTAGCTATGAAATGTGAAGGCTCTAAAGGCTCTTGAACCTGATCCTACCACTTACTTTCATACTTAACCATAGTAGGTATGAAAATTTTAGCAAAGTTTCTCTATGACTCTGTTTTCTATTTGTCAAATGGGAACAATAACAACAGTGACCCCACCTCAGAGGAGTTCTGTTACTAAATATGATAATGACCATAAACCCTTAGCAGCTACATGATAACAATTCAGTAGGGGCTGTCAAATTGATTATCCTAGTCCCACCAGTTTGCACACCCAGAGGCCCCATTATTACTTTTTGCCATTGTTGCTATTAGGATATTCTGCTATGATTTAGTATATCAGTCAAAAATATTGCAATAAGAATTAACTTTGGGGGAGGAAGGTGAGGAAAAAGGGGGAGCTGATCCCAAGGGCTCAATGGAAAGTAAATGTCTAGAAAAGAACGATGGAATGTATGTACCAATATGTCGGATACAATTGATGTATGGTTTTTAACAAGTGTTGTTAGGGCCCCCAATAAAATGATTTTTTTTAAAAAGAATTAACTTTAAGTGTTCCTAACATACTATGTGTATTTAATATCAAAGCATAGATTTTGTTTTAGCTATCACAAAGTACTCTAACTTGTATTACATATATCTATTTTTTTAATTTAATGGACCAATCTTAAGAATAAGTGGCAAAAGGAAGAAGAAAGCAGTGCCTACTAATATATTTTTTCTTCACTTCAAAAGTACAAGGTCAAAAAAAAACTTTTTTT